ATATATGTATATATAGTATACAAATAGTAATTTATATAGGTATATTATTAGTAGTATTATATACTAATTGTAAGTATGTTGATGTACGACAAAAACGTGCTTGGCATAAGTTATGCATCATTTTGAAAGATAAACTTTGGCATACAACACGTTCAAGAGAAAAAGGAGAAAGATAAAGAAAAAGAAAAAAAAAGAAAACGAGACTGAGATTATTTTTTTATGTTTTTTTTTTTAAGGATATGACGTATAAGGAAAAATATACGAAACATTAAAGTTTTTAAAAATTATTATTGTACATTTTTATGAAAATTCATTTTTATAATAGTATTGCAAAATTGATTTGTATATATGTGTGTGTATTAATAAGGGTATAACTTTTAATTTATTATTACTTTTAATTTACATTTTGTAATTTTATTTAAATTATTTTATTTTATTTAAATTATTTATTTTATTTTATTTTATTTTAATTATATTTGAATTATATTTTTTTATTTTATTTAAATTATATTTCAATTATATTTTTTTATTTTATTTAAATTACTTTTTTTTTATTATTACTCTTAATCAATGTAATTAAAAATAATAATTAATATTTATATGTGTAATTCTCTTTTAATTTAAAATATTTAAGCAAACATTTATCTATCCAAATTTGTACGTATATATAAATAAAATAAGTATTTCTTTTTTTTTTTTTTTTTAATTTTATATCTACCAACGTCAAAGAAAAAAAAAAACAAGAAAATTACCATTTATTTCTAACGTGTTTTATATAATAATTTATATAACTAAAAAATATAATAATTTTTAAATATTATATTTTATACAGTACATATAGTATAATAATTAATTTTAATTAACTAACTAACTAACTATATATATATATATAATATAATAATTTATTTTAACTAAAAAAAAAAAGAAAAAGAAATTCGTGAAGATTTCCAAAAAAAAATAAAAAAAACCAGTGAGAAATCGGTTATTTTGATTTGTTTAATTTGTAAGTGGTCAATCAGTGGGTGTACGTACACAACGACGAAAAAAAATAAAAAAAAGAAAAAATATCTTCGAAAGAAGAAACTCAGGTCAGAGAAAAGTACACAAGGTGATGACACTGATGAACACAAGGCATGACACACACACACGCACACACACACACACACACAACACAAACAATATCGTTTCTCTTATTTTATTTTATTTTTTTTTTTATTATTATTCTTTCTCAGTTAGGCGCACGTGGAGAGTTTTAAGATGGTAATAGAAGCCTTAAGAAAGTAACTAGGACAGTGGTCGATGGTGACACTTTCGTGGGACACATTCAACGTACAATAATATATGCATACATACATATATATGTATATATATGTACACAATCAATTTGGTTAGTACATATACAGTCTCAAAATTATACTTCAACCTTTTTTTTTTAAATTCTTTTTTTGATTTAAAATTAAACAAACTTTCAAGTATCATTATCCTAAATAATGTTATTAAAAAATATCCCAAGGTTACCAAATTTTCGTAGGTGTGAATATATTAAGTGGACAAGAAAGTAATGTCGCTTTCTAACCTCAAAATTCAAACAAATAAATGTTTCAAACAAAATTTTTTATTAATAATCAATAATTAAATTAATTAATTAAATTATCAACAACCTTTTTCTATCTGATATGCAAATTGTTAATATCCTAATGATAAAAATCATCAATCAGTTTTTTTGATTTAAAATATTAGAAATAATTTGACACGCGTAGTAACGACATTACTTTTCGATCTTCCTAATATTTGAAAATAATATTCGTAATATTTATTTTTATCATTAACATTAACACGAGATTTTATACTATATTTACAAATAATTAAATGATAATTATTATTAAAGATGAAAAGATAAAAATTAATCATCAAATACAACGTTAATCAATTTTGACTTGTATGGTAGAAAGAAAAACAATTCGTGACGATTATTTTTTCTGCAATTAAATAAAAAAAAAGGGGGGGGGAAACTAGAAAATGTAATAAATTTGATTTTCTATCTATAAATATATCAAGTTTCGTATTTGTGTTATAAAAATGTTCTATATGCAACATTGTGAAATTAGAATTTAAATGGACAATTTATTTCTATGTGGTATCAAACAAAAACAAATGGAACAATACGTTGTTAGGAACTTTAGTTTTATCCTAATATAAAACATTTATTATTTTTTTTTTGTTTCTTATTTTTTTAATTATAATAAAATAACGTTGATGAAATTTTACAACAAAAAATCAAACAATAAAACAGTTTCTTATTGTAAAATAAGAAACGATAATACAAGTTGTAATCTTATCTCGTTTTATATTTAAAAAAAAAAAGAAAGAAAACATGAAAAAAACTTTAATCAATCGTACCAAACGTACTTTTAATATTTTCTTATTTTAAAAGATAAAAAAAGAAAAAAGAAAAAGAGATGAAAAATAAGAAGGCCTTTTAACAGCAAAGATCCAATGATTCGATTATGTTTAGTGTTTACATTGAAAAGAAAATGAAATTGCATTCTAATAGACCTTTCGCCTAGTTCTCTTTTTCTCTATTTTTCTATTTAATGACTAGACTAAACTAGATAACTTGGCTAACTTAGCTCTTTAACTCTTATTTAACTAAACTATCTATCGTAAAAAGAGACATATCGTTCAATCAATTTACAACACAACACAACACAGTCATAAATATTATCACGAATCTAAACCTAGAATTGAATTCAATTTAATTGAATATAATACAATCACATTTACGTACCACAATAAACAATCTAAATATAGAAATTAATGTTTTATCATTGTTCTATGTTTATCATCAAAATCATACGAATAAATATTTTTTTTTTTTTATTTTATCTTAATGAATTTTCATAATAATTTCTATCACACATTTTATCAACGTGTATTGTTTATGTTAATATATAAAAAAAAAAAAAAAAACAAGTTTATATATATATATCAAAAATATGTTATCAAAAAAGACAAAAAAACATTAAACTAGTTAGTATTGAAAAAAGTGACTGTAAACAATAATAATAATAAGAAGAAGAAATAAAAAATTAAAGCGTACAATATAATATACAAGTATGCATATAGAAATATGTAAATGGTATGTAAATATACATAATTTTTGTTACATATTATTCTTATCAGTTTGTCATTTGTATTACGAACAAATTCATTACATATACATATAGGAATAACAATAATTTATAATCTGAAAAAAAAAAGAGAAACGAATGAAGAAAAACAATAAAAATGATTAAACGATTATTCGTTGTATCTAACACGCCATTATTGTACCCGCATCCGAGTTGCAACTGCATTCACCACCAATGAGGTTAGATTTAGAAAATGCAGAAAATATTATTTTCCTTTCTTTTTTGTTTTCAAGTAGATCTAGGACTTTTTAAGAGTAATTTATCATGAAATTGAGTTCGCAAGAAGCCACGAGAGAATTTCCATTTCAATCTTTTGACGAGAACATTAACTACGTACCTACATATATGTGTATGTGTGTGTATATATAATGTATATTTGTAATCTCAGTTTAACACAACACACTTTAAACGACAATAGAATCGAGTAGTAGTAATATTAACGGGCGAGTAATGTTTTTAATGGCGTTTTCGTTTGACATGCATGATTCGTTGGCAAGATTACGTTTATAATAACTGTCTTTACCTCTTTCGGCATTGTACAAATCGTGGGAAAAATCGTTTGTCGTTCAATCATAGTTTCGACATTGTAAAAAAACGAAACCAAAATCCTTTACTTTTTAATATAACATAATATTATATATATTCATATATCTATATATATCTTTAAAAAAAGCTAGTCAAGAAAATGACTGTATCGAAACACAAAAAACAAAAACATGAACGAAATATTGTTATAAATTAAATAAAATTAGTTTATTTATTCGTTTAAAATGCTGATGTTAATGATGATCATATCTGATATATCTCCTATATCTATATATATATATATATCTTTAAAACAAAGCTAGTCAAATGAAGTTCTCTCTCGAGAAACAAAAAACGAATTATATTGATATAAATTAAATAAAATTAGTTTATTTATTCGTTTAAACACTGCTCCTGCTAATGATGATACCTGACATATCTCCTATATCTATATATATATCTTTAAAAAAAAGCTAGTCAAGTGAAGTTCTCTCTTGTGAAACAAAAAATACAAAAATGAAGGATAACGTTATAAATAAAATAAAATTAGTTTATTTATTAGTTTTTAATACTGCTGCTGCTGCTGCTGTTGATGATGATGATGATGATGATGATGATATCTGTTACATATCTTCTATATATATATATATATCTTTCTCTTTCTTTTTACTTTCGTTCTCGTTCTATCTTATGGAATTGAAATTCGTACGCGGGCGGGTGCGTAACGCGCGTCAGGGATTGGCGGATGTAGAGAAGGGTTGGTAGAGAGAAGAGACGTGGAGGAGGAGAAGAGGAGGAAATCAATGGCACCGTCTGGCACGATAGAGAGAAAATACGACGACGACGACGAAGACGACGAAAACGAAAACGATGTGTAGTGGTATATAGTTATAATCACGGTCCTCGGAGTGTTCTTCTCTTCTGATCTTGCGCGACCCTCGTCTTCGTCGTCGTCGAAGAACGTCGAAGAACGTCGCCGATGATTATCGAAGAGAAAACACGTTAAAAAGAGGAACACGCGAACGGGACCGTGAACCAATGAGAGCTAACAAACGAGCAAAAGAGAGAGAGAGAGAGAAATATGGAAGAAAAAAAAAATACAAAAAAAGAAAACACTTTTATCCCTAGGGTGGTGTTCGCGAACGACGAGTCGATGAAACTCGCGAGACGATTGGACGATAGAAAGGGAAAAGAGTAGGACGTGGATTAAGGACGAATAAGAAAAGAGGTAAGAAGAAAGAGAAGAAAGAGAAGTAGAAGAAGAAGAAGAAACGTGCTACTCACTTGGCTGCTAACGTAGCGTAGCCGCCGCCGTTGTCGTCGTCCTCGTCCTCGTCGTCCTCGTCCTTGCTCCGACTTGGAACGTCGATCTCCTCCTTCTCCTTCTCCTCCTTCTTTCTTTCCTTCCTCCCTCTCTTTTAACTTTTCTTTTTCTTCTTCTTCTTCTTCTTCTCCTCTTCTTCTTCTTCTTCTTCTTCTATTACTTTTCCTTCGTCGTTCTTATTTTCTTTTTTCCTCTTACGCTGTCCCTTTTCTTTTTTATTTTTCTTATCTTTATTTTTTACTCGACGAAAAGAGGATGGAAAAAATCAAAATAAGAGAGAAAGGAATCAAATTAATTATAKAATAATAATATTAAAATAGAAAGTGATAAGAATTATTATGTGATATTAAAAAAAAATTAGAATATAAAGAGAAAATAATGAAAAGGGAGAAAAAGGATATGACAGATAAATAGAGAAAGAAAGAAAGGCTGACAGATAGAGAAAGAAAGAAAGAAGAAAACGATTATGCGCCTGTTAAAAGGACACACTGCAGTGAGACACACTAGCTTCTTTTTATTTTCTTTTTTACGTAGGCGAAGGACGATATAAAATAGGGCGCATCGAAGGTAAGTACGAGACCGAGCAAATAAAAGAGGGGGTGGTACACAAGCACCTATCCCACCGTTCACGCGGGTGTCTCGAGCCTGACTGACGCGCCGGCACACAGTCGACCCCTGTGTGAGCTGAGCCGGCTATCCCCACCACTGCCACCTCACCCTCGGTACTTCTCTCTCTCTCTCACTCTATCTTTCTCACTCACTCTCACTCGTGCTCCCTGTCGACCCTATCAATCTATCTCTCTCTTTCTCACTCTCTTGGATTTAACATTTATCTATCGGGTGGTGCCAACGTAAAACTCAACGACTAAACGAACTACAATCATTTTCGCCACCCTATGTAATACGCGGCCAACTCGGACGTCGGCTCGCAACCTTCTCGGCCTCTCGCAAATGGCGATCACGCCTCTCTCTCTCTCTCTCTCTCTCTCTTTATTTCTTACTTGCTTTCTTTATTTATTTTCTCTATGCTTATGCACTTTTCTTACTCTCAACTCTTTTTCTTCTTGTATTTTTTTGCTATCCGAATCAAGGAGAACGCGCTTCGATGAAGCCCTCTTTTGTTGGTTACGATCGTTCTTACTACGACGAATGAACGAATGAACGAGCCCTGCAAACTATGCACTTCTTCTTTTACTACTCGATAGAAACTTTTACGTTCTCTTCTTCTTCTTCGTCGTCGTTATTTCCAGTATGCCTATATACATATATAACATGTAACCATACATATACACAAGTATATATGTGTATGATATGATCTCGAAAAGGAACACAGAATCATGGGCATTTTCTCTCTTTCTCTCTCTCTCTCTCTCTCTTTCTAACTATGCATTAGGAAGGATTCTTTACACACTTTTGTAAGTGTGTAAAGAACTTTTGTTGTGAGACTTATCGGCTGGTGATAAGACAAACTAACGTGTCTGTCATCGAATCTTTGGGAAGGTCAACTGTGCTACGGTCACATGGAACAAAGAGGATAAAAGAATGAATAGAATTTTTGTTATATATATATTTTTTCATCACATTCGTTCTACGATAGATACATATGTGATTATATTATGTGTAATTTTTGGTTTGTTTTCTTCTCGTTACATGTGTTCGTCTATTTTATTTTACAATAAATATTTTTGCATATATGTATATATAGGATTATCATATTATTTATTTATATGAATTAATCTAAGAGTATATTTAATAATTTTGTTAATAATTTTTAACGAATTATATAGATGTGAATTAATCATAGAGAAAAACGTGTCGAGATATCCTGAGATTCTTTAGATAAACGTTAGAAGCTTCCGGTTAGATAAACACAATCGTATTTTTTGTTATCCTCGCGTTTGCAAAGAATTCGATAAAAAGATATCTAGACTGTTCCTATTGGTGTGTGTGTGTGTGTGTGTACAATTCCTTTGTACAGAAATGAAAGAACAGATCGAATTTCATAAAGAAGAGATCCAAATGATTTAATTTTCTTTGGTATTTTCCTCCTGTACATTTTCAACGTGTACACCAGCATCAGAGGTAGCAAGTTTGATTCTGTCAGTTGGTTTAGGACGCATGAATATGAAAGGTAACTCAGCGGAGAGTTCACCTCCCAATGCACCGAGATAAAGTTTGACCTTGACGGCGTAGGAGACAACTATGCCGAAAGAGTCGCGTACATCTGGCGAGGTCAAGAGCGTGCTGGAAGCTAATTCAGCTTCTTCGCGTTTCAATCGACCATCCAGGGCAATACCCCGACGATGCTTGTTGTTCTCCAAATCGGGCTTCAGATAGAGTACCTTTTGTAGATTCGAGCCAGGACTTATTGGGCAACCGTCTTGAGTTTCAACCGCATCAATTACAGTACGAAATTGACCATTTTGAAAGATAACCACATCTATGCCTTGTTGTACCAATGCTTTTATCTTCTTAACCACTTTGTTACTATTGTTTCTAACGCTCACATTAATGGCTATTCTCTCGCCATGATGATAGAGTTGTTTGTCGAGTGTGACCTCGAGTTCGAGTTCTCCGGGACTCAATAGGAAATCTTTACGTACTATAGTACACGGTTGTCGGCCTTGTTTTGTAGGTGCATACTGAATCTTCCTTATTCCGAGAGTGACCGTAGTTCTTTTGTGAGTAACGTCTGTCTCCGTTTCACCGGAATAAATCTTAACGAAGTAACTTACGCCGCATGGTTCACCCGTCTCTTCGGGGCCTGGTTGGAGGGTCACGCTCGATGGAGCGCTATGGGGGAAGTTGAAGGTAAAGGGTATGGCGTTTGGGCCCAGTTTCTGCAACAACCTTTCCTGTAGTCTCGTTAAATTAGACTCCATTTTGCTTGTTTGAGGATATAATTGTTCGGAGATCAAATAAAGATCCTTTTGAAAATTTAAACCCATAACTTCGTCCTCTTCTCGACCATATCGAAAACTGCATATTAATTGACCCCATACCTTTCTACCGGTATCGACGTAATTCTGATCTAATAAAATCACACCGTCGATCGGTTCTACACCTGACAAATAATCAATGAAATCTCTTTTGCCTAAGTACAATGCGATCTTTCCATTTGGTGAACTTTTCTTAAACACTTTGAAATTGACCACCATCTCGTTTTTTTTTTTTTATTGTTCTCTTTTTGTAATCTTTTTTCTTTTTCTTTTGCTATCAACCAACCTCAGGGATCTTTTACTACTCTTCGTTGACTGGATCAACGTGCAACCTAACGAGCCTTTATATATCGACCTTATACGCATATTTGTGATGTTACAATGACGCCATGCAACTTTGGAGGCTTCTTAATCCATTCAACAACACGAACGTGAAACTAGTTCTTTTTTTTTTTTCTATTACTATCGAGCACGCGAAGCTTTTTACATTTCTTTTTTTCATTTATCTATCCTTTCTCTCTTGCATAGAATTACGTTACTCACTCGAACGGGAAAACGTAAGACTATATGTAAACGTTTACTAAACAGATTTACTCCTACGTTACGTTTGTTTATGAATCTAAACACTTACCGTTCTTTAAGACCATTCGATTTTTTTCTTTTTTTTTCCCTTTTACTCACGTATCCTGAGATTTTCAATTTTTGTTCTATCCTAGACAATTACATAACGTGGGATATTTTTAAACTTACAACGTAAGAGAAAGAGAAAGAGAAAGGGAAAATAGAATGTATGTTACGTGAAAGGTAAAGAAGTAAAATAAGGGATGTCACAAAAATAAAAATATTGCATAATAATGAACAATCTTATTTTTTAAATCAAATCTAAATTATTCATTTATAATATACGAATAGCAAATGTTTTTATACTTAATTTATATTTTAAATTTTACAAAATTTATTTATTGCATATATCAATTACACAATACCAACAAAGATTATAAAAGATATTTGATTTTAATTAAAAATCATTTATTGATAATGAACGTGAAAATAATAATTAATTGTTAATAATAGTTGTTACTTGTTGTAATATAATTATAAAAATTATATCTATATATATATACATTCAAAAGTATTTATGTTTTTTATTCTAAAAATTTTGCTATAAAATATTTTTTTTTAAATGTCGGTAAAAAGGTATTTCATGTGTTGTCGGTAAATGTCGGTAAGGTAGATTACTTAATCTAATTTTTGATTTTTCCCACCAGAAGTCGCTGTTGCGTGCAACCTTACACAGTTCGCAATAGTATTATTTGAATAGTGAGAGAAAGAACTTATCGTCGTATCTTGCACCTTCTAGAAGTTTTGGAACACTGTAACTATTTTTAAAAGTCGCAAGTGACATTGTTCTATATCACGATGTCAGACAATTCTGAAATAAGTGCTGATTTGGTAAGTAAAAATTATATCTATTTTCTATTGTATATCTTTATTATCAAATAAGGTTATATATATATCAGTAAAAAGAATTTAATATTTTTGTGTAAAGAAAGATTTTTTTTTCGGTACATTGACATTAATTCCTTGTCATGGCCCTCGTGGTGCCCACGTTTAATTAAATTCTATATTTGTTCCTGTGCTAATGCTATTTTTAAGAATCTTAGATATATATCAGAATTTATGAATATGTATACATAACCTAATATGTGTGTACATATATTTTTATTTGACATTTTGTAAATTGTATAAAATGATTATAGGATTATTTATGACAAGTGTATTCTTTATGTTAGTACATTAATTTATATAAATAATATGTTTACATTTCAGATTAAGCCAATGGCTATAGTCGTACCACCAAATTCACCTAAGAAATCAGTCAAGTCAACTGCAATAGTGAAATATTCTGCCGTTCAAACACCTGCAACTTTTGCTCAATTGCAATGCAACACCAATTTAAATCTTCCACCAAGCAATTGGCTTAGCAGTTCTGCTGAAAGTTATGGTCTACAAAGTGTATGGTCACAAAACACAGGATTTTCAAGTTTTCGCATGGCACATATGTTTCCAGATTGTGTTGGTGAAGTTGACGTTGTATCGGATGCAGAAAATATCAAGAAATTATTAAAATTACCTTATAGTCATGGAGTTATATCAATGATGGTACACCGTATTGAAAATACATTATTAATTGATGATTTTGATATACATAAATATTTGTTACGACAAGCAGAAAGTGAATGGGAATGGTTAAAGAAATTTTTTTACGAACACATATTTCAAAATTTAGGAGACAAAGAAAAACGATTATTTCATAAAGCAAATAGTAGAAACAGCTTACAACAGAGAAATTTAGTATCTAAATTTCTCTATCATTCAATTGTATTAGCAGATAGTAATGAAGATAATTTAACACCTCCTTTACCAGTTAAACCATTGGAACAATGTTTACCTGAACCAACGCAAGAAGAAAAAGTACCAGATCCAAACTATAATCATAATTTTGCAAGAAACGTTGTATGGACTTTTGAAAATATACAAATGCTTATTGGAACCGATATGCCAATATTTGGTGGACAAACTCATCCATGTATAAGTTTACGATTAAGAGATATGTCTAAACCTATTAATGTACTAACAGGAATAGATTATTGGTTGGATAATTTAATGTGTAATGTTCCTGAAGTTGTCATGTGTTATCATTTGCATGGTATTGTTCAAAAATATGAACTTATCAAAACAGAAGATCTTCCTAATTTGGATGATTCAAAATTCAGTCCTAAGCTTATCAGAGATGTGGCACAAAATATATTAAGCTTTTTAAAAAATAATGCAACTAAAGCTGGTCACACGTATTGGTTATTTAAAGGTAAACATTATTTGTTTTATTATTAAAATTAATTTTATACAAAAATATATTACTTCATTTTGAAATAATGTTTAATAGGTAAAGATGATGATGTTGTAAAACTATACGATCTAACATCATTATGTAATGATGTTACCGATGAAAAAGGACAAAATCCATTTACAGTACCAGTAGCAATGCTGTTATACAGAGTAGCTCGAAATATGAAATATTCTTCTGATTATGATCGACATCAGGGTACTATTCGAATGTTATTGAAAAACTGTATTCAACTTCTTGCAAAAGAAAAATATCCACAAATCGTTACATCTGCACATTTTATGCTTTCTGACTTATATGTACCTTCAAGTACGGATCCAGTTAGTCCAAGACTTTCTGATCAAAGTGACGAGGAAGATACGCAGAGTGAATGCAGTACAAATCATGAAAATGATAAAGAGGAAGATGAAGAAACTCCTAGTGCATCTATTAAATCTTTAACATTAGCAAATAGTAAGTAATCTTTTAATATAAATCATAGTAATATCAACATTCTAAATGTTGTTTGTATGTATATATATATATATANTATATATATATATATATATATATATATATATATATATATATATAAATAAAATATTTTGTTAATAGTTAAAGAACAAGTAGAACAAGAGGGGCCTAAGTACAAACCACCACCGATAACAGGTAGCGTAGAAGAAAGGTGTTTAACAGCATTGGAACATGTCGCACATGGTCTTGAATGTTTAAAATATTTTCCTACTGAAGAAAGTTCAGATGAAGAACAAAAAAAGAACGAGGATAGTGAAAAGGAAAGACAGAAATATGAAGAAGCTAATCCAAACATGGCAAAACCTTTTCAAGCAATACCAATGCCTTATGTTTCTTTAAATCAAGAAAAACATTGTGAATCTGGTGAAACTTCGCAAAATAACAGTCCTAGTCATAAAAGAAAAAATAAACAGAAGAAAAAGAAATCAGAAAAATACATTACAAAGGAAGATAAATCGTTTAACAATAAAGAAACAAAATCATGGTTATGTAAATCAAAAAATGAAACTTTACCTATTTGGCAGGCACCTAAAAAAAGTGATAACGTTAGTTGGAATGCACATTTGAAAACTCTTTTGTATGAAAAGGCCTCGTTGATATTTGCTGTATTGGCAGAAAATGAATATGCGAGTAAAAATTATGGTGCATCTTTGAGATACATGTTAGCAGTATTGCGATGCCAAAAAATATTGGAAGTTTGTTGTGGAATAAGAAATGACAAATCTGTCAGTTGTCTGTTAGGTCGTGCAGGTGATTGCTGTTTTATGACTGTACAAGACTGGTGTAACATAGAAAAACATAGAAAGGATTATGACATGAAAAATGTAACTGAAGAGAAAATAATAGAAGAAATATACGCATTGGAAGATTTAGATACATGTATGTATAAAATTACAATGTTATACAGTATAATAAACATCTTCTTGTATCATTATACATTTCTTACAAAATGATGATATGTTTCATTTCAGATGGAATAGAATTGTTACCGCAACATCTGGAAAGTTTAGAATTTACTTTGGTAGCTTCTTACAAGTGTTATGAAAAAGCTTTGTCCTATGAACCGCTAGAAATAGAAAAGAATAATTTATTAAGACGATTAGGAAATATTCATAACGAATTAGGTGTTTTATACATGAACCAAGCAGGAGGTAGTAAATAACAATTATATTTCTTCTATTAAATGTAAACAAAGTTTTATAATTAATACATTTACTTTTTGTTCATTTAGCACGATACAAACAAGAAAGTACAACCAACGAATCGACTCAATCGTCTCCAGATGTTACTGCACTTCTTAATTGTTCCTTACATCATTTAGAAGCAGGTGTTAAAGCTTTTGAAACTGTTCACGATGAAGCAAATTTAGCTTTACTACATTCGAATACCGGTAGACTTATGCGAATTTGTGCTCATATGCATGTTAAACATAATACACAAGAACAGTATTTTTACAACAAAGCACTTGCGAGTTATCAAAAAGCCTTGCAAGTATTAGGTTCGAGAAAATCTAATTCTGCAATATGGGATACAATAACGTGGGATTTATCTACAACACTTTTTACCATGGCCACATTATTACAAGATTATCCTTCACAAGGACACAAGGTATTTCTCGTTCTTTGAATATAATCAGAATTTTATTCAAATTTATACAAAAACAAATAAGATGTTTTTTTTTTTTAATGAAATTTATAGTCAGAAGAAGAACTTGAAAGAGAAGTAGTCGACATATTACAAAAAGCACTTAAACATTGTGACGTTGATATACCAGGACCACGACAACCAGTTTATCAATTTCGTGCAGCTATAATTCAACATCGTTTAGCATCCTTATATCATCATATATACAGAGAATTCGAATCAGATACAGATAATGTGAAGAGGAAAAACAGTTTACAA